CACAATGTAAAAGATACATTGAGACTACTAAGTGTATTTTTACTTTCTCGTATGCGAAGTATAGAGAAAGTATTGTAATCGTGCAAAAAAAAAAATCGAGATTTTCACAAATCCCGACGTTTTACTCGTCCCTGCGTCGGAAAAACAAGTTTTGCAATATTGTCCGTATGTCTGTGTTTATGTGTGTGTGTGTGTATGTGTGTCTGTGAACACGATAAATTGAGTACCGTTACAGCTAGGTTGATGAAATTTCATATATAAGCATTATATCGAATTTGTAGTACTGTATCAACTTTTCAGCGATTTCCGGTAACCGGAAGTGGAACTTATTTTACTTTCAATTTTTCAAAAGCCTATAACTTGAGTACTGTTTCAAGTAGATTAATCCCCACCACCCAAACCCCATCCCGGCACGTTGCCATTGTGCTGTTAAATTTCAACCTGTATTTGATGGAAAATACCTGGCAAACTAAAGCACTTTAAACACAGCTCGACAACTTGAACTAGACCACCGCACTAACACGTACTTTAACACTCAACAAATCGATACAATGTGTCAAGTTAAAACAATAATTTACATGAACTCATCGTCAGCATGAATACACGTACAAAACCTTTACTGTAACAAAATGCGCTAAATAAGACACATATGTTTATCTTTATAAATACTCATTAATTTTTAAATTGACTAATTTAATATCTAATTATATTTTTTCAGCGTTGTTAGTCTAATATCCAAAATCGCTCTGTTAGAAAAATGTCGAATTAGAGTTTTAAGATTTGAATACAAATCTTTCCACCAGCCCACCCACCAGCCCAACCACAAACCCACCCATAAAAATACCCACATCTCACCCACATCCCACCCACATCCCACCCACATCCCACCCACATCCCACCCACATCCCACCCACATCCCACCCACATCCCACCCAAATCCCACCCACATCCCACCCACATCCCACCCACATCCCACCCACATCCCACCCACCAACCCACCCACCAACCCACCCACATCCCACCCACATCCCACCCACATCCCACCCACATCCCACCCACATCCCACCCACATCCCACCCACATCCCACCCACAAACCCACCCACCAACCCACCCACATCCCACCCACATCCCACCCACATCCCACCCACATCCCACCCACATCCCACCCACATCCCACCCACATCCCACCCACATCCCACCCACATCCCACCCACATCCCACCCACAAACCCACCCACCATCCCACCCACATCCCACCCACCATCCCACCCACATCCCACCCACATCCCACCCACATCCCACCCACATCCCACCCACCAACCCACCCACAAACCCACCCACCATCCCACCCACATCCCACCCACCAACCCACCCACCATCCCACCCACATCCCACCCACATCCCACCCACATCCCACCCACCAACCCACCCACAAACCCACCCACCATCCCACCCACATCCCACCCACATCCCACCCACATCCCACCCACCAACCCACCCACATCCCACCCACAAACCCACCCACCAACCCACCCACATCCCACCCACATCCCACCCACCAACCCACCCACATCCCACCCACCAACCCACCCACATCCCACCCACCAACCCACCCACAAACCCACCCACCATCCCACCCACAAACCCACCCACATCCCACCCACCAACCCACCCACCAACCCACCCACAAACCCACCCACCAACCCACCCACCAACCCACCCACCAACCCACCCACAAACCCACCCACATCCCACCCACCAACCCACCCACAAACCCACCCACATCCCACCCACCAACCCACCCACAACCCACCCACCAACCCACCCACATCCCACCCACAAACCCACCCACCAACCCACCCACCAACCCACCCACCAACCCACCCACAAACCCACCCACATCCCACCCACCAACCCACCCACATCCCACCCACCAACCCACCCACAAACCCACCCACCATCCCACCCACATCCCACCCACCAACCCACCCACATCCCACCCACCAACCCACCCACATCCCACCCAAATCCCACCCACAAACCCACCCACATCCCACCCACCAACATCCCACCCACATCCCACCCACCAACCCACCCATCAACCCACCCACATCCCACCCACCAACCCACCCACCAACCCACCCACCAACCCACCCACATCCCACCCACCAACCCACCCACCAACCCACCCACATCCCACCCACCAACATCCCACCCAAATCCCACCCACAAACCCACCCACATCCCACCCACCAACATCCCACCCACATCCCACCCACCAACCCACCCACCAACCCACCCACATCCCACCCACCAACCCACCCACATCCCACCCAAATCCCACCCACAAACCCACCCACATCCCACCCACCAACATCCCACCCACATCCCACCCACCAACCCACCCACCAACCCACCCACATCCCACCCACCAACCCACCCACCAACCCACCCACCAACCCACCCACATCCCACCCACCAACCCACCCACCAACCCACCCACATCCCACCCACCAACATCCCACCCAAATCCCACCCACAAACCCACCCACATCCCACCCACCAACATCCCACCCACATCCCACCCACCAACCCACCCACATCCCACCCACCAACCCACCCACCAACCCACCCACATCCCACCCACCAACATCCCACCCAAATCCCACCCACAAACCCACCCACATCCCACCCACCAACATCCCACCCACATCCCACCCACCAACCCACCCACCAACCCACCCACATCCCACCCACCAACCCACCCACCAACCCACCCACATCCCACCCACCAACATCCCACCCAAATCCCACCCACAAACCCACCCACATCCCACCCACCAACATCCCACCCACATCCCACCCACATCCCACCCACCAACATCCCACCCACATCCCACCCACCAACCCACCCACCAACCCACCCACATCCCACCCACCAACATCCCACCCAAATCCCACCCACAAACCCACCCACCAACCCACCCACATCCCACCCACATCCCACATCCCACCCACCAACCCACGCACTTTTGTATAGCCACTTTATGTTTTATAGTTTTCATTTTGAGCAATATGAAATTTCTTATTTTGATTTTAGATTTAAGTGTTGAAAAACGGAGTCATAATAAATTCACAGATGGTACAATGTAAACCTCCACCCCCTCGATCCTATCAGTAGAGTTTGAGCCTACTTGAACAAACGAAAATTCAAAATTCGAAAAATAACTGCATTGTTAATTAAATAATTTACAATAACAGATTAGTCAGTGGCGTTGCTAGGTCTGGTGTCACCGGGTGCGGCACCTCATGGTGGCACCCCCGCCCCCCCCCCCCCCAAAGAAAAAGTATAGGCCACACACACATATTTAATAAAACTTTTTTCCGCTGTAAATTTTGCAATTGGTGTCACCCCCTCTCTCCACGCACACACATATTCAATAAAACTTTTTTTTCCCTGTAAATTTTGCAATTGGTGTAACCCCCTCTCTCCACATACACACATATTCAACAAAACTTTTTTTCCGCTGTAAATTTTGCAATTGGTGTCACCCCCTCTCTCCACACACACACATATTCAATAAAACTTTTTTTCCTCTGTAAATTTTGCAAATGGTGTCACCCCCTCTCTCCATACACACACACATATTCAATAAAACTTTTTTTCCTCTGTAAATTTTGCAGTTGGTGTCACCCCCTCTCTCCACACACACACATATTCAATAAAACTTTTTTTCCTCTGTAAATTTTGCAGTTGGTGTCATCCTCCACCCCCTTAAAGACTTTTTCAACTATATTTAATCGTTAACTAAACAGACAAAAAGCATTTTTCTTCTATAAATTTTGCAATTTTTTTGTCTTGGTGTCACCCCCCCCCCCCCCCTAAACGGTGTCACCCGGTGCGTTCAGCACCCTCCCGCCCCCGCCTCGCGACGCCTCTGAGATTAGTTATTTGCTTTAGCAAGTAAGAAGGTAATGTTTCATTTTGGAAACAATTTTATAATTGAAGGGATTATCTATATATATAATTCTCTTCTGGGAGACATTAGAAAACAAGCTGCAAGCGCGCCTTACAGTCCCCTCTCTTCCTCTCTTTCGCTACCACCCCCACCCCCTCACATGGTCTGGTGAGCTGTGGTTCACTCTAAATGTTTTTGTTCACAATCATAGCGTCGGGTTTGGTGACGGCTATTAGGGGCAGATAATTTAGTTTGAAACGATTTAAACTTAGGGGAGGTAACTAAGAGGAGGCTGCTTTCACGTAGTGGGGGGGGGGGGGGGAAGGGGGTTTAGTGTTTTAAAGCAAATATTTTCAGTGGCAGCATTGGTACTGTCGAATTCACAAATTATGAATTACTGAAAAGTAGAAAAAACAACAACTAAATAGCGGCGTATGATACACCGCGGGTCGGCTCGTAATCTTATAATCCCTTACATAGGTATGAGAAGGATGAATCAAACATTCCTTAACCAAATATTTTCTTTTAAAAAACAACAACAAAAGAGTTAACAAATTGTATGTTTATTTCGTACATTATTTCGGTAAAATTTTTAAACACACATCAAAATAAGCAGCTACAGATAATTTGATCTCAATCTAAAACAGATAACAGAACGTTTGTCATGGGTATGCTTGTTTATAATAGTCAACGTTTGAAGAAGTAAAACACGGCGTATCATTGATAGGTGCGTGATAAGGCGTATGTCCTAGAAGGCCAAGTCAGGTGGGTGTTAGCTAACAACGATACAATCATTAGTTTACCGTCATAGATTCACACACAATAGTCGTTTGATACAGAGTTTCTTCCAGGCATCTCTACCGCCCCCCGAACGAAATGGAATTAAATATAAATATATATATATATACTTTAAACAGTGTCGCCCCCCCCCCCCGGAAATTTTAGACCGCACCCCCCCCCCTCCCCGAAAATATCAAGTGCCCCCCCCCCCCCCCAGAGAAAAATGTCTGGAAGAAACACTGGTTTGGTATAACTGGTCTTTCACTTTAGAAATTACGCACACATATTTAGTACAATGTTATTTTTTTAATGCAACATCTAGCAATATTATAAAACAGCAATCCTACAATATTGCGTCACATAATGCATTTTGATTCCATGAAGCATTTCGATGTTCTTTAAAACATTTCAATATACGTCTCTATGAGTTCGTTTTTACAAACACGATTCCAACATCACACACATACACATACCTGCACACACACATACACACACATTAACAGCACTATCTAATTATGTAATAAATAATTGACATGATTTTTATCAAAGTAAAAAATTAGTAAAACTTTCAAAACATAATCAATTAGTCATTCACGCAACTTCAATTTTGGAAACAAGAAAGCTCAAATTATACTGTAAAGAACTGCGCCCTTGTCATAATCATGAGGATTAAAACAAGAGTTAAAGCCCCTGGTTTCTTTTCTAAAGCTGCGTTTTCACCTCCTCCTGATTTTTTTATGTGGGCGTCGAATTCAATGTTTTTTGGAGTTCCTGCAATAAAGTACAGTTTGTTGATGTGAAATTCACATGTTAAATCAGGGATCCTACAGTTCGTTTATGTCAATACATTTACTCGCTCATAAAAAAAAACTGCAGTGATGTTGGACATGCCTGTCTCACCCCTGCCTTAAAAAATAGTTTATAATCCAACTATAAATAATGTAATCCGCTTTTCAAAACGAAACTCGCATAGCAGTAACTTCAAAATTTTAAACTTGGAAATATTAGTATCAGTAGCGTCGTGAGGTTAGTGTTTCGACCCTAGCTGGACCAACATATGGAGTCATTTATAAATACGCTATGGTGGTCATCCATAAATACACTGGGTAGGGGGGAGTCATCTATAAATAACAAGGGGTATGGAATTGGAACTTTCGATAATTGTGTAGATTTTAGAGTACTGGGTGTGAAGATGGCAGGTGGTTGACTAAAAATCAGTGCCCCTTCCCCTCCTCAGTGATAAAACAAACGCCAACATAGAAACTGACGCCTAACTACAACAACCATCTACCTACACCATCCCCATCTTGAACAACCACCTACCTAAACCAACACCATTACACCATGAATAACCACCTACCTAGACCAACACCATTACACTTTGACCAACACCTACCTAGACCAAAATCTACCTAAACCAACACCATTACACCACGAACAACCACCTACCTAGACCAACACCATTACACCTTGAGCTGGAACAGACACACCACACCTCCGAGTACCATTTGTAGCAACCATCTGGCGGCAGCGGGTTGGGCAGACCGTACTGGTTGTCCGAACACCCTCTAGCAACCACTGGTGGCAAAAAAAAATTGTTTTACACATGTGATATTTTTGATACGATATAACACCCATGGTGGGTACCTGAGTCCACTCAGCTAAAATGGGTACCTAACCGTGGACGTCCCTGAGTCCGCTCAGCTGAAATGGGTACCTAACCGTGGACATTTGAGTCCACTCAGCTGAAATGTGTACCTAACCGTGGACATTTGAGTCCACTCAGCTAAAATGGGTACCTAAACGTGGACATCCCTGAGTCCACTCGGGTGAAATGGGTACGTGATTTACGTAGGCTTGGCTTAATGCTCACAATACTATCCGTTCTTATGCAGACAAACAACGAAACTCTACTTCACCTGCTCCATTGACCCGTGACCGTCAGGTCTGAAAAGGTACTGAAATATACATTAGATAAAGAAGGGGAGGCGGGTCCAGTATAATGATGTCACGGGTTTTGTACACAAACTTGATGTAAATATTTAAAAACATTTTCGAACAAAATCAAAGTTTAACAATCAAGTTTCCCCACCAGACTTACATTTCTCATCGTAATCGTAGGACCTGATGAAGCAGGTGCCGTTACAGGGGCCAAAGTAGGCGTTTCTCACTCGGGTGTACTTGGGGCACTGCCGGTAGTAGTTGCCCTTCATGTCGTAGTTGATGCACTGGTAGCATTTGTTGATGCCGTCTTCCTCTGGTCAGGTGAGAATAGACAGGTGAGAATAGACAGGTGAGAATAGACAGGTGAGAATAGACAGGTGAAATAGTGTGGTGATATAGGACAGGTGAGAATAGACAGGTGAGAATAGACAGGTGAGAATAGACAGGTGAAATAGTGTGGTGATATAGGACAGGTGAGAATAGACAGGTGAGAATAGACAGGTGAGAATAGACAGGTGAGAATAGACAGGTGAAATAGTGTGGTGATATAGGACAGGTGAGAATAGACAGGTGAGAATAGACAGGTGAGAATAGACAGGTGAGAATAGACAGGTGAGAATAGACAGGTGAAATAGTGTGGTGAGTATAGACAGGTGAGAATAGACAGGTGAGAATAGACAGGTGAGAATAGACAGGTGAGAATAGACAGGTGAAATGGTGTAGTGATATAGGACAGGTGAGAATAGACAGGTGAGAATACACAGGTGAGAATACACAGGTGAGAATAGACAGGTGAGAATAGTGTGGTGATATAGGAAAGGTGAGAATAGACAGATTAGAATAGACTGGTGAAATTGTGTGGTGATATGATAGGACAGTTGAGAATATAGGTAAAATAGTGTGGTATGTTTTTGGGCAGGTAGTAATAGACTAGCGACTGTGAGGTACTAACAAAATGGAGGAATTTCGGGAAGAGGTGCATTGTTGGACTTATTGATGGAGCGACAGAAGATCTCGCGAGACTTTGGGAGAGTTTGAGGTAGACATTTATTTTAAGACCAAAAATAAATAAACTTTAGGGCCTGTGATTGCCAATACAAAAAAACCTTCCGTGGTCCACTAACTAGCTCTCATCATAACATTCAACTATTAGATATTGTGTGTTATACTCACCTACAATGTCTTCCACGATATCTTCTAAATGAGCGTCGAACTCAATTCCACTTGATCGGCCTGGTGTCGAAAGATATTTTATGATTAGCAGCTATTAATTAATTTTTGATTGATAATAATACATGTATATTACTGTTGCTTTGAACGAATTGACACGACTTAGCACACCCGTCAATGTCCACATCCAAACCCACACGCCAACCAACTGCCACACACACTAGCACACGCTCTGTCACCCGTCAACTGACACACCTCACGTGAACACCTCTCGTTCTATGTAAACACACTCAACCAAGGGATACAACTACATACAAAAAGAGGGTACCTGTCTTTCGAGCACACAACACACACAATCAGGGGACATAACATGTAAGGGACGTAACAAAAAAAATACTAAATAATATTTTAATGATAATATTAATAATAATTAATACATGTATATTAGTGTTTCTTTATTGAAATAACAACGATTACTTTTGCATACCTAAGTAAATTATTAAATGACTGTTTTTATCTAAGGTCTAGACAAAAACATATAGGGGATGGAAGCAGGCGTTGTTACTGAAAATACTGAAATAGCAATATAAAGCCTTGGCGTTGGAACATCACTTTCTGTTTATATTGCGACAACAACACACATGTTTCCTGTAACCTAAAGTATTGACCTTGACAAACTGTGAACAGACGTGAGGTACTCACCCACTGGGCCGCCATTACAGCCGGGGGTTGTACAGATACACCAGACGTTGCCGTCGTAGTCGTAGCAGCCGTCTTTGGGCAGGGGGTAGGGCAGGCCGTACTGACTGCTCGTGCAGCCGCGCGCCACCTCTGAAAGGTCAAGGTCATAAAGTAGCTTTTCTTCTTAATTTTAAACATGAGTTGCACAAAACTGGTACACTGATTGTACATACGATTTCGGTCAATCCCGAATATTTTACACAAAATCTTGTAGAAATAATTTCAGGAAGTTATTGAGGAACCCAGCAATTTAAAAAGTACCCAATCTTTCTTTAGGGATATGTTTTGTTTAGTTTACCCTCTAGGTCATGCGTTGTTCAAGGGGACGGTGTGGTCGAGTCGGTAAAGCTCATGGTTGCTACACCGTAAAGCCTAGAGTTCGAACCCTCGGGCAGATGAGGCTCGTTAGGTGGGACAAATCCAAAAAAGAAAAGCAGGCTGAAGTCAGAGTCAACGGCCGCAATGGCGCATAACCAGTTGACACGTATACTTAATTGTGTTGGATGAATCTCTTCTGGGAATCTCTTCCGGGAATCTCTTCCAACACTAAATAATAAGAAAGCAGGTGTTTATCCCTAAGCACAAGATAGCAGACAACTTAATTGTCAGTGCATAGTGCGGAATCGTCAGTCAATTTTTACTTATCGTCCTGAATAACGTTGTAAAATAGTAACACTTACTTTTTTTTTACCGCACTGAACTGTAACATCTGGCCAAATTTAGCAGCATTAATTAAACTATGAAATTATTTTTGGCCACATTTAGCAGTATGAAGCCAAAACTATTACTTTTGAACATATATAGCAGTCTAATACCCTGTATTGATGTTTGAATTGTAATTCTAGCCAACTATATCAATAAAAAAAAAACCCAGTTTACTTTTCGGGTCGTCTTTGAAGTTCCGGATGAAGCAGGCTCCGGTACAGTTGCCGCTGTACACAGTCTGCACGTTTACCCGCCCGTCCAGGGGGCATTGTGGGTAATACTCGCCCTTGTCGTTGTAGTTCAGGCATTGGAAGCAGGTCAGGACACTGCCAGGCTCTGTGGACGGGGGGGGGGGGGTGTGGAGGTTTGGTGAGAATTTAATGAGGGGTTATCTAGAAGAGTTTAAGATTAAATGTATTTACAAGTGCCGAGGGATCAACCGTCTCGAAAGACAATGTGTGACTCAAATTCGGTGGATTAAATATGGAAGATGTATAGATAATCCTTGTGTAAGGATGTAAAAGAAAGCTTAGTGTAAGTATAAAGTATAGGTTACTTCTTACTAACAACTTCTGTTCAAATGCTTGCAAACAAATCAACGTGTAATTGCCACATTTAAACAGTAGTCATGAGTATTAAACAACCTATACATTATCATTACACAAAGTTTTCCTTTAATTTAAATCGATGTTAGCAATGTCCTAACAACTACAGTTTTGAAGTTCTTTCTTCTTTGAGTAATGTATTTAATGATGTTTCATAATGTGTGGTTATGTTTGTGTGTATTGCACAAGCATGTGAGTATGTTTTTACGTGTAGAGCTATTATGAATATGTATGAGAGTACGTGTGTATGTTTCTGTGCATGTATGTTGTATGTCATTACCTGCTGTAACGGTCTGGCCATACAGTTGAGCGGTATGAGAGTACGTGTGTATGTTTCTGTGCATGTATGTTGTATGTCATTACCTGCTGTAACGGTCTGCCCATACATGTGAGCGGTATGAGAGTACGTGTGTATGTTTCTGTGCATGTATGTTGTATGTCATTACCTGCTGTAACGGTCTCGTCATACAGGTGAGCGGTATGAGAGTACGTGTGTATGTTTCTGTACATGTATGTTGTATGTCATTACCTGCTGTAACGGTCTCGCTATACAGGTGAGCGGTATGAGAGTATGTGTGTATGTTTCTGTGCATGTATGTTGTATGTCAATACCTGCTGTAACGGTCTGCCCATACAGGTGAGCGTCCAGAGAGACCCCACTTGATTTGTCTGTAAAATAGTAAAATTGGGGCTGTTAACATACAACACAAACTTTTCATTGTCTTTCATAAGTGAGCTAGCTTTAATCTGAATGATTTTTTAAAATTAGTGATACATGTTATTGATTTTATTTTTTATTACATGCGTTATGAATTTAAATTTAGCTTAACATTTTTAGGGCTACCAGAAGCCGACTCAATCTCCAACACTCCACCCCACCTTATGCCCGTCCACCTCATAGTCACTTCAACCTACGCCACCCCATGTCCACCTCACTCCATAACCCACCGCACCCCTTCCCACGCTCACCCACCCCATGCCCACCCCTCCCCCAGCCCACCCCTCCCTATGCCCACCCCTACCCATGCCCACCCCTCCCCATGCCCGCCCCTCCACATGCCCACCCCTCCCCCATGCCCGCCCCACCTCCTGCCCACTAGATGTGCTTAAGAAGAACAAACCCGGAAGTCCGACCATGTTACATAAAGGCGTCCAGCAAACACAGAAGATGGCCCCGTTCCAGTCATAGCAGCCATCTTGTGGGAGGGGCGACGGTAGCGTCCCTAGGGTGGAGGTGCACCCTCGAACAATCACTGGAGAAGAAAAAATGTTTTTGTCTAGGTAAGTGGATACTGAATGGTACAGATGATCTAAAATTCAGAGAAAGACGAATGGCAGCAAATGGGTTGGTCTCACAATGCAGACTGGCTAACTGTTTACATACAGTGTTGTTATTATGTTACACTATAAAAACTTGATTATGATTTTATTGTATTAGCTGGGTACCTATTCGATGAGAACAACATTTAAAAAAAGGTATTGTTTTTTTTTCTTTCTCTTTGTCACAATTTTTTTTTAAATTAAAGAAACGAAGAAAAAATAATTTAATTTGCAATATTTTTATTCTAAAACTGAAAAAAAATTACGCAAAAAAAAAAAGCAGTCTTTTTACTATACCCTTACCCCACCCCTAAGTCACAAAGGCAAACCGATAATACAAAAAATTAACATGTTTTTAATAAAAAAAAATTGTTTAAAAAAGTTTAAAATAAATTCTACTCTTTCTTGATTACCCCCACTACCCTTAGCCTAATTGTTCACTTCCTTATCTCAACAAAGTCAGAAGCCACACTTGCGTCATGGATGGCTGAATCTAAAACTGGCCTTACCGCTGTCGTTCTTGGCGTCACCCCTGTAGTAGCATGGCCCGTCACATGCGCCATAGAAGGCCATCTTAATCTGGGCCGGGCCATTCTTGGGGCAGAAGTCATAGTACTTGTCAGAGGCGTAGTTGGTGCAGTCGAAACAGAAGCTGTTGTAGGCACCTGAAGATACAGGCGGTACTTCGTTCAGGGTGTGGCACTTCAGGTAAATTTTTAAAGTTTAGAGTGGAAGTTTGTGAGCTCAAACACAGAAATAACGCAACGTTTTCCCCAAATTTTAAATACCGCCCACTAACCCACTTTGTCCACCCAAGAACAGTCTATAAGGCAGTGTGTGTTTCATTTTTTTTTCAGCCCAGTTCAGGACTTCCGGAGTTAGCATCATACGCTCTCCCTTTCGGCCGTGTCATTCCTGTTCTTTACTTATACGAAACGCAAAATATACGCTTCGTCACAATTTCTAATCGACTTCCTTCGTCTCAGAGGTCCGAACGACCACCCTGACTAAAGGCAGAGGCGTAGCGAGGGCGGGGCAGGGAGTGCGGACCGCACCGGGTGACATCGTGAAATGCCGCACCGGGTGACTCCCGACCTAGCGACGCCACTGCTAGCGGCTATTCAGCTAGAAAAACGAGGTCTTGCCCTCTCTGCTACCTACTAAAAACAACGTCATTTTATCCAAAGTTTTATTTTAAAGAAATACGCCCCAGAGTAAAAGTCAGAACCTTTCCTTCGCTAGTTATCTGATGTCATTTATGAACAATACGTATTTTATTAGGGCTACATTACGGATATGGCCAGTGTCCATTAATTTACTATGATGATGTACAATGTTCACTAAAAAGTGGCATACGAGCAGTTCGTACATATAGGTGAGGCTGATGAACACATATTTTGTTTGATGACGAAATGATATGAAATAGACAGGTGTACGCAGGTCGTTTGCTGAGCTAAAAATAGATCTACCCCGGACACGCAACATTCATGCGAATTTGACGTCAGCTGAGGGTAAAGGGATTGTGGGGGGGGGGGGGGGTAATGGGATGGTACACATGAATAGCACTTTTTACACCCCCCCCATGACTGCTTACAATATTTTAATCCATCCCAACTCTACCCACACATAAGCAGCAACACACACTACACACAACACACTCAACACACACACAACACACCTAACACACCCAAAACACATATTATATTGTTTGTTTTGTTTTAAAATAAAACATCGGAAATATCGAATTATCGAAAAAAAAATTGTTTCCTTAGTCATCGCAAGACACTATTGCTAAACGACATACTGAGTTAATAAAATACTTAAAAAAAAACTTTTTAAAAAACCACGTTTTTCTTGTGGACTAAAATGTAGAAAATAAATTTTCATACATTTGATGACAAAAAACGTGGGTACGTTCACCATCAAATTTCCCGACCCATCTGCCCGACCCACGTTTTTTGTCATCAAATGTATGAAAATTTATTTTCTACATTTTAGTCCACAAGAAAAACGTGGTTTTTTAAAAAGTTTTTTTTTAAGTATTTTATTTTCTCCTTTTTAGTCCGTTGCTACACATGAAAAACGTGGTTTTTAAAAAGTTTTTTATATAGTTTATTTTCTACTTTATCTAATCACTTGATTAAGTATGACTTGACTAAGTGTTTTTAAATACACGGACTAAAAAAATCTTGAGCGACCGATACGCTTTAAACAGAGAAAGGGTGTAATTTACGTTGCTGGCGTGGAGATCTACTCACGAATCACGTGATCAAATCTCCCATAAACAAAAAAATAAACGCGAAGCTGAGTTAAGGAAAAACGTGTTTATGTGTATTTTAGCATGCCCAGCGTACCAACCGTGTCACCGTTAACAATGTGTTATCGTGTCCGTTCTCCTTTTTAGTCCGTTGCTACACATAAAAAACGTGGTTTTTTAAAAAGTTTTTTTTAAGTATTTTATTTTCTCCTTTTTAGTCCGTTGCTACACATCAAAAACGTGGTTTTTAAAAAAGTGTTTATAAATACACGGACTAAAAATCTTGAGCGACCAGGATTCGAACCTGGGTTGTCGCGGCCACAACGCGAAGTACTAACCACTATACGATCACGGCCAGCGCGCTCACATCGATTGGGGCCGAAGTAACTGTGTCAATAGGCCTCAAGTCTTGTCGGTATCTTTAGAAATCATGTCCTCAATTTTATGGTCCTTGGGGCGTAATTAAATTAAGCTAATTACGGTCACTAATTGCTAGTTTTTATGATTGCATCTGAAATTGTTAGGCGAAAGTAGCATGCATGCCAAATTTCAGGTCTCTAGAGCAATCAGAAGTGGGCTAATTTTCGATGTCAATTTTAACAACAAACATCCAAACAACCAAACAACCAAACAAACAAACGCGAAGCTGAGTTAAGAAAAACGTGTTAAAATAGAAAGTGTAGGCTAGGGGTGTTTAGTTATACACATAACTAATCTAGGGGAGCAGGATATTACCTCTGTAACACTATTGCTAAACGACATACTGAGTTAAAATATAAAGTGTAGGCTAGGGGTGTTTAGTTATACACATAACTAATCTAGGGGAGCAGGATATTACCTCTGTAACACTATTGCTAAACGACATATTGGATTAAAATATTAAGTGTAGGCTAGGGGTGTTTAGTTATACACGTAACTTATATAGGGGTGCAGGATATTACCTCTGTAAATACCCCCTCTCCTACGCCGATAACTCCCCTCGAGACACCCCGTAGGTCAAACATCCCTTGTTCACAACCCCTCTGTATATTACCTCCCTTTCCATCCCCTGTGACAAACAAATCTGGAGTGGGACATAACCCCCTTCAATAACATATTAATCCTAGGCCTTACCCTAACACACATAACCAACAGGTTAATTAATTGATATGATAATTGTTATGGTTAGAATGAGTCTTTGGGTTATGATTAAATTTTCGAGCCAGGACTCGGGATAGGGTGAGGTGTGAGGGTTAGTCAATGTCCCCCATATTAAAAAAACAGTTCAAAATGTCCAAACGCATCTGACATAGTCGTGTTATTTACTGTTTGCGTGATCGCTAAGGGAGCGTCCATAAATGACGTCACGCTCCTGGGGTTGGGGGGGGGGGGGTCGAAATTTTGTGACGCTGTGTGACAACATGAAAGTGAGCCAGGAATGAAAGTGTTTATTGTATTTTTAAATAGATAGTATGGAAATGAAAATGTATTAAATTTATCGTCATTTAGGATGGGGTGGAGATTATTTACGCCATTTTGCGGCGGGTAGCACATTAATAACTCACAATGTACTTAAAGGTAACATAATTAACTAGTCACATTTATACTTACAAGTAACAAAAGTGAAACATGTGACGAATATCACGGGCCGTAGTATCCATATAAACATGATTTCTGGAATAGTTTCGCACCAAAACTGAATGAAAACACACTAACACATTTTCGCGCTGCGCTATTTCCTCATAGCAACTCGTGTTCGAGTTGGAGAACTTGTGTCAACATGGAATTTGGCAATTGAGGACTATCCCTCTCTTCTGATACACTAGAACAAACATTAAGCGATTCATTTTTTCTAGGGTTTGTGCGGGGTGTGGGGGCTTTAGCTTATGAGCGAGTTTAAGAATCATGTGGTTGTTTTGTGTGGGAGTGTGTGGTTGTAATGTGTGGAAGTGTGTGGTTGTAATGTGTGGAAGTGTGTGGTTGTAATGTGTGGAAGTGTGTGGTTGTAATGTGTGGAAGTGTGTGGTTGTAATGTGTGGAAGTGTGTGGTTGTAATGTGTGGAAGTGTGTGGTTGTAATGTGTGGAAGTGTGGGGTTGTAATGTGTGGAAGTGTGTAGTTGTATAGTGTGTGGCTGTTTTGTGTGGGTGTGTGTGGTTGTAATGTGTGGAAGTGTGTGGCTGTAATGTGTGGACGTGGGTGGCTGTAATGTGTGGAAGTGTGGGGTTGTAATGTGTGGAAGTGTGTGGCTGTACTGTGTGGAAGTGTGTGGTTGTGCTGTATGGAACTGTGTTGTTGTATTGTGTGTGGCTGTACTGTGTGGAAGTGTGTCGATGCTGTGTTTACACGTGTGCTGTCATGGCAACAACACTTTGTTTTTTAAAAAAAAAGTTTATGAAGAATTTTCAACTTACGGTCATTCAGTTAACACGCACTGTGTTCATTTAATAATTCACGATTAAAATTATATCTTTATACCTCTAAATATCTTTTAATAAGTTAAGATAATTAGGACTTTCTCATTTCAACAAGTTGAGGCTATCCCTTACGATCGAACTCAAGAAATCAATCACCAATACCATCAACTGTACTGAAACATATAATCAAAACAATCATCGAAGAAAGAGAATCCAGTGATGTTAATTAGTCCTAGTCAACACACATCTAATTAATATAACCTCACGACTGTTGCGGCTAAGGGTTAAACGGTTAAAAGTGCACACTACTGGTTAGCCAGTGGCTACGGTTGAACTGGCAAACCATGACCTAATTCATGCAAGTCCCAGCACTAATCAAACACGAGCAAGCGCTTCTAATGTTGACACGGGGACAACAGAGGCGGCATAGCTGGGCTGGTCATCAGAGGCGGATTGGAGAGGATCAGCTCGCAGTGTCAACTTGGTACGACAGGGGCGCTGTTAGGGATGGGGACATTTGGCTAAGAGTTGATACAAATTGGGGCACTGTCAGGGATGGGAACTTATGAATAAAAGATGATAAAAACTGAGGCGCTGTTAGGGATGGGAACATTTGACTAAAAGATTATAAAATCTTTGGCACTGTTAGGGATGGGAGCATATGAATAAAAGATGATACAAACTGGGGCACTGTACGGGATGGGAACATATGAATAAAGAATAATACAAACTGGGGCGCTGTCAGGGATGGGAACTGTTGACCAACATATACAAAAGGATGATACACACTTCGTTACCTACAACAAGAAATGTTTGTCAATGTTAGATGCGGCTTTGAGCCCCTAAAATGTACATATTAGGGTGTGGATGTGACCAAATACTCCACACACACACAAACACATATATACACACACATACAAACGCACAAATACATATATATATATATATATATATATATATATATATATACATACACACACACACACACACACACACATATATATATATATATATATATATATATATATATATATATATATATATATATATATATATATATATATATATATACATGTACATATATTTTATTCTAAAATTCTATCCATAAATTTCAAACTTTATGCTTTATTATTTTATATATATATATATTACGACGTAGCATACGCCCCGCTATTTAGTTGTTTTTATTTCTATTTTTTAGTAATTCATAATTTGTTAATTCGACACTACCAATGCTGCGACTGAAAATATTTTACTTTAAAACAATATCAGTAGCTCGTGAAGGACAATTATCCTCAACCTCACTTTTTCCTCCCCCCCCCCCCCCACCCCCGTGACGACAGTTTACAGACGACAATGAAAAGATCAAGCAGAACTTATTACCTCCTCTTACTTGCAAAATCACTTAAAAACTAAATTATCTTCCCCTAATAGCCGCCACTAACTCGACCCGGCTCTACGATTGTAAATAGCTCACCAGACTGTACGGATGGTTGGAGCTAGAGCTAAAGTGTAAGGATGGTTGGAGCTAGAGCTAAAGTGTACGGATGGTTGGAACTAGAGCTAAAGTTTAAGGATGGTTGGAGCTAGAACTAAAGTGTAAGGATGGTTGGAGCTAGAGCTAAAGTGTACGGATGGTTGGAGCTAGAGCTAAAGTGTAAGGATGGTTGGAACTAGAGCTAAACTTTTTCTAGGCTGGCGCTAAGTACTTGGATAATTTTTTTATGTATTGGACTGTAAGGTGTATTGGACCTCAAACTGTAAGCTACGCTAGGTCACGGGACCATACCTTACATTTTTATTACAATTTCTTTATTCAACTTTTTAATTTAGAATAACATAATATTTATGTTTTATTTTATTACTAACTTCTCATGATTGATTTAAATCGACTTGAAAGCTCAAGTCTCTAGATAATACTGATTTTGATCTATGTACAAGTACAAAGTTGGTCTAAAAACAATATGCATTTTTGTTTGTAAAATCAGAAAGTTTTATATAAGAAGTATATGAAGTTTAGTGGTATAAATAAATAAAGTTATAAATTATTATTCATGTTAAATAAACATTGATAAACAACCGTTTTTTTTTAAAATTAAAAATCCTAATAAAACAAAAGTTTTTTTTAATTTTATTTCTTAATTTTTTACCTTTACTAAAAACTATTGCTACTAATTAATAGAACGTAAAATGATAAAATGTAGGGTTTAGCGAAAAAATAATAAAAACCCGAGAAAAAAATAAAATGGTGCGACAACACAAGATTGCGTATTATGGCGTGAAATTATTGCTAAATTTGTAAATAAATATTTACATCGTTTTTTTGTCCTGACCAAGTTTTTCTTCCCACTGAAAAGCCCAAGTAGAGTGCCATTTTAACGATTGTGTGGCCTGTTTTGATATATTCATCAGTTAAATTTTTTTAAAAGTTAATTAAACTAATAATGAAAACAATTTCGGCCTTCACCTAGCAATTATACGGAAATAATATTGAAAATTTAAAATTCAGTGCCGATAGCGTTATGTTTGTTATGTGTCTCCTGTGAGGTTCGCGCGTTTTGTATGAGCTAAGACTGCTCAACCCATGCTCTCTTCGGCCAGTTTGTCAACAGGCAGGGCCTCGATCTGGTCTATACGTTATGGTCCATACGATTTGCTCTATATGTTATGGTCCATACGTTATGGTCCATACGTTGTGGACTAAATGATGTGCCCCAAACGACTTGTTATGTACGTTACTGCATTATACGTTACTGCACTATTCGTTACTGCACTATACGTTACTGCCCTATACTATAAACGATGTTGTCTATACGATATACCAAATATTCTACACGATGTTTCTGATAAAGTCAGACAAGGTTGGTGTCAAAACTTATATTTTCCTGGACGGTGAGGGGTAAGTACAACTATTTTTTTTCTGCTAATTTTATTAATTTAGATCTAGATTTATAACGATTTTTTCTATGTATACGTTGAAGTCTACGCGATGTAGCTTCGTTTAAAGTTAAGAAAACTTTATTCTATTAGTAAATAAGTAACGGCCCCATATTCTAACTCTGGTAACTAATTATTAAACTATCGGGTGTCATTGCAAAAAAAACTAGATCTACATAGAATTCATATTTCAAATGCAATCATGTTTTATTTTCAAAAGAGTAATTTGATTTAAAATGTCCCTTTAAATTTAGATCTAAATAATATATTTTTTTTCGAAAAAGAAAAATAATCACAAAATGTTTTGCACCGCTAGTGAACGTAATAGTTTTTCTTTAAAATTTTAATTTTAAAGAAACGATTCAAAAGTTCAAAACATACTAAATCTAGATCTAGATCCAAGTGGGAATAAACCTTTTTTACAAAACCATATCTTCAAAACTAGATCGAGACCCGACAGCATTAGGATTTGTTTATTGTGTGAGGTCTGCACTTTAATGTTTCAAATCTAGAAACGTTTCATTTTCAAAAGATTAATGTTAGGTCTCAAATGACAATTTAAAAAAAAATAACCTCAAAATTTTTTGAACCGCAAATGAATGGTGATAGTCTATCTGAAATTTCAAAAAAACAAAAAAACGCTTCAAATGTTTATAATATTCTAGTAAATTTAAACGTTATTTTACAAAGATATATATTTAACAATATCTCTACTACAGATGGCGTTAAGATTTGTTTGTTATGTGTCTCCCGTGAGGTCCGCGCGTTTTGTATGAGCTAAGACCACTTAACCAACGATCTCCTTGGCCAGTTTGTCAACTGGCAGGGCCTCGATCTGGTCCATACGTTATGGTCCATACGATTTGCTCTATATGTTATGGTCCATACGATTTGCTCTATATGTTATGGTCCATACGATTTGCTCTAGAATGTTATGGTCCATACGTTATGGTCCATACGATTTGCTCTATACGTTATGGTCCATTCGATTTGCTCTATACATTATGGTCCATACGTTATGGTCCATACGATTTGCTCTATATGTTATGGTCCATACGTTTTGGACTAAATGATGTGCCCCAAACGACGTGCTATGCACGTTACTGCACTATACGTTACTGCACTATACGTTACTGCACTATACGTTACTGCACTATATTTGATGCCCAAACGATGTTGTCTATACGATATACCAAATATTCTACACGATGTTTCTGATAAAGTCAGACAAGGTTGGTGTCAAAACTTTTATTATTTTCCTGGACGGTCAGGGGTAAGTACAACTATTTTTTTCTGCTAATTTTATTAATTTAGATCTAGATTTTTAGCGAATTTTAATTTATACAACGTGACTTATACGTTGAAGTCTATGCGATGTAGCTCATTTAAATTAACTTTATTCTATTAGTAAATAAGTAACGGCCACATTCTAACTCTGGTAACTAATTATTAAACTACTGGG